TCATGGCTACAGACGTCAGTGCTACGGGTCGGTAGTCATTTAGGCAGGTTATCTTAGAGTCCTTGGGCACAGGGACTATGGTGGTCTGCTTGAAACATGTTGGTATTACAGACTCAGTCAGGGACATGTTGAAAATGTCAGTGAAGACACTTGCCAGTTGGTCAGCACATGCTCGGAGTACACGTCCTGGTAATCCATCTGGCCCTGCGGCCTTGTGAATGTTGACCTGCTTAAAAGTCTTACTCACATCGGCTACGGAGAGCGTGATCACATAGTCATCCGGAACAGCTGGTGCTCTCATGCATGCTACAGTGTTGCTTGCCTCGAAGCGAGCATAGAAGTGGTTTAGCTCGTCTGGAAGTCTTGTGTCACTGGGCAGCTCGCGGCTGTGCTTCCCTTTGTAGTCTGTAATAGTTTTCAAGCGCTGCCACATCCGACGAGCGTCAGAGCCAGTGTAGTACGATTCAATCTTAGTCCTGTATTGACTCTTTGCCTGTTTGATGGTTCGTCGGAGGGCATAGCGGGATTTCTTATAAGCGTCCGGGTTAGAGTCCCGCTCCTTGAAAGCGGCAGCTCTACCCTTTAGCTCAGTGCGGATGTTTCCTGTAATCCATGGCTTCTGGTTGGGGTATGTACGTACGGTCACTGTGGGGACGACATCATCGATGCACTTATTGATGAAGCTAGTGACTGATGTGGTGTACTCCTCAATGCTCTCTGAAGAATCCCGGAACATGTTCCAGTCTGTGCTAGCAAAACAGTCCTGTAGCTTAGCATCTGTGTCATCTGACCACTTTTTTATTAACCGAGTCACTGGTGCTTCCTGCTTTAGTTTTTGCTTATAAGCAGGAATCAGGAGGATAGAGTTATGGTCAGATTTGCCAAATGGAGGGCGAGGGAGAGCTTTGTATGCATCTCTGTGTGTGGAGTAAAGGTGGTCTAGAGTTTTTTTTCCTCTGGTTGCACATTTAACATGCTGGTAGAAATTAGATTTAAGTTTCCCTGCATTAAAGTCCCCGGCCACTAGGAGTGCTGCATCTGGATGAGCGTTTTCCTGTTGATTTATGGCCTTATACAGCTCATTCAGTGCAATTTTAATGCCAGCATTGGTTTGTGGTGGTAAATAGACAGCTATGAAAAAAATAGATGAAGGCTTTTATTGACAATTACATTAAGTTTATGCAAAGAGTCAATATTTGCAGTGTTGACCCTTCTTTTTCAAGACCTCTGCAATCCGCCCTGGCATGATGTCAATTAACTTCTGGGCCACATCTTGACTGATGGCAGCCCATTCTTGCATAATCGTTTTACATTTTAGTCATTTAGCAGGAGCAATTAGGGTTAAGTGCCTTGCTCAAGGGCACATCGACATATTTTTCACCTAGTCTGCTTGGGGATTAGAACCAGCAACCTTTCGGTTACTGGCACTACGCTCTTAACCACTAAGCTACCTGCCGCCAATGCTTGGAGTTTGCAGAAAGTATTCACACCCCTTGACTTTTTCCACATTTTGTAGAGTTACAGCCTTATTCAACAATTGATTAAATAAAATATGTTCCTCATCAATCTACACACAATATCCCATAAAGACAAAGCGAAACAGGTTTCTATTAATTTTAGCAAATTTATATAAAGTACCAGTCAAAAGTTTGGACACCTACTCATTCAAGGGTTTTTCTTAATTTTCTTAATTTTCTACATTGTAGAATAATAGTGAAGACATCAAAACTATGAAATAACACATATGGAATGATGTAGTAACAAAAAAAGTGTTAAACAAATCAACATTTATTTTAGATTTTAGATTCTTCAAAGTAGCCACCCTTCGCCTTGTTGACAGCTTTGCACACTCTTAGCATTCTCTCAACCAGCTTCATGAGGAATGCTTTTCCAACAGTCTTGAAGGAGTTCCCACATATGCTGAGTACTTTTCGGCTGTGGGTTGAGGTCGGGTGATTTTGGAGGCCAGGTCATCTGATGCAGCACTCCATCACTCTCCTTCTTGGTCAAATAGCCCTTACACAGCCTGGAGGTGTGTTTTGGGTCATTGTCCTGTTGAAAAACAAATGATAGTCCCACTAAGTGCAAACCAGATGGGATGATGTATCGCTGCATAATGCTGTGGTAGCCATGCTGGTTAAGTGTGCCTTGAATTCTAAAGAAATCACAAACAGTGTCACCAGCAAAGGACACCCACACCATCACACCTCCTCCTCCATGCTTCACGGTGGGAACCATACATGCGGAGATCATTCGTTCACCTAATCTGCGTCTCACAAAGACACGGCGGTTTGAACCAAAAATCTCACATTTGGACTCATCAGACCAAAGGACAGATTTCCACCGGTCTAATGTCCATTGCTCGTGTTTCTTTGCCCAGGCAAGTCTCTTCTTCTTATTGGTGTCCTTTAGCAGTGGTTTCTTTGCAACAATTCGACCATGAAGACCTGATTCACGCAGTCTCCTCTGAACAGTTGATGTTGAGATGTGTCTGTTACTTGAACTCTGTGAAGCATTTATTTGGGCTGCAATTTCTGAGGCTGGTAACTCTAATGAACTTATCCTCTGCAGTAGAGGTAACTCTGGGTCTTCCTTTCCTGTGGCGGTCCTCATGAGAGCCAGTTTCATCATAGCGCTTGATGGTTTTTGCGACTGCACTTGAAGAAACTTTCAAAGTTCTTGAAATGTTCTGTTTTGACTGACCTTAATGTTTTAAAGTAATGATGTACTGTCGTTTCTCTTTGCTTATTTGAGCTGTTCTTGCCATAATTATCAGAACTCAGGATAAGACCCAAATGCAGACAATTCGAATTACAGATGTTTATTAACAACACCGGGGTGCAGGCAAGAGGCAGGTCGAGGACAGGCAGGAGTTCGTAAACCAGGTCAGAGTCAGGTAGGTACAGGACGGCAGGCAGGCTCGAGGTCAGGTCAGGCAGAATGGTAAGGCAGGCGGGCTCAGGGTCAGGGCAGGCAGAAATGGTCGGTACCGGGAAGACTAGAAAACAGGGACTGGAAAACCAGGAGCACAGAAAAACTGCTGGTAGGCTTGCCGAGACAAGACGAACTGACAACAGACAAACAGAGAACACAGGTATAAATACACAGGGGATAAGGGTGAAGATGGGCGACACCTGGAGGGTGAGGGGTGGGGGGTGGGGGGGAGACAAGCACAAAGACCAGTGAAACAGATCAGGGTGTGACAATAATATGGACTTGGTCTTTTACCAAATAAGGCTATCTTCTGTATACCACCTCTACCTTGTCGCAACACAACTGATTGGCTCAAACGCATTAAGAAGGAAATAAATTCCACAAATTAACTTTTAACAAGGCACACCTGTTAATTAAATTGCATTCCAGGTGACTACCTCATGAAGTTGGTTGAGAGAATGCCAAGAGTGTGCAAAGCTGTCATCAAGTTATAGGGTGGCTACTTTGAAGAATCTCAAATATAAAATATATTTTGATTTGTTTAACACTTTTTTGGTTACTTAATGATTCCATGTGTTATTTCAAAGTTTTGATGTCTTCACTATTATTCTACAATGTAGAAAATAGTCAAAATAAAGAAAACCCTGGAATAAGTAGGTTTGTCAACTTTTGACTGGTACTGTATATATTTGTTATGAAACTCGAAATTGAGCTCAGGTGCGTCCTGTTTCCATTGATCATCCTTGAGATGTTTCTACAACTTGATTAGAGTCCACCTGTGGTAAATTCAATTGATTGGACATGATTTCGAAAGTCACACACCTGTATATGTAAGGTCCCACAGATGACAGTGCATGTCAGAGCAAAAACCAAGCCATGAGGTCGAAGGAATTGTCCGTAGAGCTCCGAGACAAATAAAATGTGATTTGATTTTGACTTCCATTCATGGGCAACATTAGCTAGTTAACATTAGCCTTCTACATCTAGCTACATATTGAACATCCATCCTCTCAGGCCAGGGGCACAACAATGTATGAATTAATGGTTGGATCAGAATCACTGTTATAATCATTGGCCAGTTATGGAGAATTAAGTAAAACCACAAGTTTTGAAGGAGTGATGCCAAATCCAAGCTGGCTTCCCTTGATACTTTTTTTTGGTGCGCCAGGACCATTCACAGTTGAGCTCGCTCAGTTTAGCTCAAAGCTGATTGGCACATGTATTTATACAGTTATTTGTTTAAAAATTATAAATGTGAAAAAATATCTAAAACTGTTTTTGCTTTGTTATTATGGGGTATTGTGTGGATTGATGAGAAAAATGAATTTAATCAATTTTAGAATAAGGCTGTAACGTAACAAAACGTGGAAAAAGTAAAGGGGTCTGAATACTTTCCGAATGCACTGTAGGGAAGGCGCATTCATGCAGATGAGGACATTTTGGCTAGAATGGAAGAAATGATATCGTAAAAACCTGCAAATGTAAACCCTCCATGTGCCCAATAAAAAAACAACACAACCCTCCCCAACGCAATTTTTTGGTGTGACAATTCTCCCCTTTATTGGGCAAGCTATCGCTCTACAAATTTGTTAATTCTGACAGGGACAAGTGTTCAACATCTCAGTAATAATATGAGATGTGCAGTGCAACTGTAGCCTAATAAAGACGACCTGGAACGCAACCATGGGGTATGGTAATAGCGATAGAAGCACAGTTGTCATTGGTAGAGGTGATATTGTTTTACCCAATCGGAGCGGTTGTTTCGCTAGAGTCATAGTGTCCAGCAGGAAGTGAAAAATGTTTACAATCTTTGATTTAGTAAAAAAAAAAAAAAGTATAACAATTTGTTTTGGATTATGACTAACACGTTATAACCCGAGCATACATTGTTGTTGATTTGCCCTTCTCAACATGTATAGTGGACTTTTACCGAAATGTCTGACCGATGCAGAAACACGACCAAAGTGTTGCAAATCACTTTCGCAAATCACTTTCGCGTGGTCTTAAGCAAAATTGTGTTACACTTGTAGACACAAGTTATTATTGTATCCAGCCCTTCATAGAAAATGACCCGTGTTTGGACTCCTTACCCGGGATTTCCGAAGAGAATTGGCAAGTATGTGAAGTGTTATGCTTGCTAGCCAGGTTGCTACCTAACGTTAGGTAGCTAACGTTAGTTTTAATATTTCCTATGAACTATATGGAAGGCTGGTGCATTGCAGTCCCCTACTTTTGTACAGGCGGTCCATGAATAATGAAACCTGCATGAAGAAAAATAGTTTCTAACAAAGTAGCTGCATAGCCTGCATATTTTTTTTTTTTTTTTTACAATTCCCAGCATCAGCACCACCTTTCAAAAGCAAGTCAAATGTGGATAGGCTACTCATCTTTGAAAAGCTACATTGTATGTTTTAAAGTTAATAAAGACACACACGTTATATACACATCACACAAACAATTTATTAACTGTTCAAAGGGAGGTTTTCATGATTTGGGTTAATGCTTTTATTGCATACATTGTTTTTGCTAAATGTGAATGGTTGCACTTCATGTTCTTTAGTAACTTAAAGAGCTACAGAAGAAAAAAGATGAGATCAACACAATGAAGCTCCTCAAAAAAAGACAGCAGCGAAGACGACATAGGAAAGGTCAATTGCACTTCTTTTTTAACCCATACCCACAATAGCCGGCAGGTAGCTTAGTGGTTAAGAGCGTAGTGCCAGTAACCGAAAGGTCGCTGGTTCTAATCCCCGAGCCGACTAGGTGAAAAATCTGTCGATGTGCCCTTGAACAAGGCACTTAACCCTAATTGCTCCTGTAAGTCGCTCTGGATAAGAGCGTCTGCTAAATGACTAAAATGTAAATGTAATAGCCACTGAAGATAAAGATCGAGGACATCTTTGCCCTGGTCAGATGTAAACCTACTTGACCTATTTATTACATAAATAATGGAACATGGAAAATCGAGAGCAGAAGGGTCATCCTGTGTCCAAATTCTAAAAGTCTCATGACCCTTAGTTTTTTGTTAGTGCCGGTTCACTGACTTTCATTTGGCCTTGTTCAATTCTGAATGGTATTATAATTGAGTTAATAGTCTTCTGGCTATAAAAGTTGAACTTGAATGGATCCGAGGGAAACAGAATTCAATTATATGCAATTCCATCAAAAGTTGCTGAAAAAAATAGTCAACCAGTCTACCCCTTTTCATTGTTTTGAAGGGATATAACCACAGTGTAGTTTATATTTCTGAGGTCATGAGTCATGACACAATACGATGAAGGGTGATTTTGGAGTAAATTGGGTGATTTTGGAGTTTACTTGACAGTTCACAGAGAACCAAGATTAATTATTTGTGTTTCACGTCACTAAACATGAAAAATCAGCGACTAAGAACATGGAATCAAACAATGAAAGGTGATGTAGGCCTATCTGTTTTTGAAAATGTAATTGTATTACGTAGCTCTACTATAGAGTCTTCAATGCTGAGTCCTGATACTTCACCCACTACAGCTCGCACACTTTCTTGCATGGATTTTAGAATTGTGGAAACTCGCTCTAGCCAATGCTTAGGCTACACCAATCCTATGCTTTTAGTGCAGACTTCAGGAAAAGGGTGGAGAACTGGGACATTACTTTGTTGTTGGTGTAGGCCTACCTAATAGCCTATTCTACTAGGGCTTTCTAAAAATTGGATGGGTACTTAGCACCCATGTATATCCTAAACATATGCTGTAGTGTTGTACTGAACCGATAATGTTTTCTTCCTCAGCATAGAACGTCAAGCGGAGCATGAAAAGCATTGGGATGGGCTTACGCAGTACTTTGGCATCAATGATAGATTTCAACCCCCTGCCTGTAGCAAGCCTGCTTCCAAGGTAACAAAGATGTCTGCCACATTACTCGCCTGCCTGTCTGTGTTTAATGCCGTCAAGTTATGGTAAACGCATTGAACGAGTTCTGTCTTTCCATATCCATGCCTGTGTAACTTCTCATTGTTTTATCAAATATGACAGGTGGATTAAGAGGTTTCTAGACTCAAATCTGACATTGAGTAAAATATAAAAGATAGTGTTACATTTAATGATGAGATTACCTTAATCTTGACATTGGGATGATTCTCCACTGTCCTTTTTGGTTGAGATTAATGTAAGATGTAGATTTGCTTTAGAGAGAATTGTATGTACTGAATGTCTGTACAAAGACCTGACAGCTCCTGCACACCTTGTTACTGTTTGTGGAAAGCTCCGTATACAACAATAACATAGGCTACTCAAAGTGTGAGATGCTAATTGTCAGACCCATGAATCTAGCCTACATGGGCATGGATCTAGCCTACATAGCACTAGCTTAGGCTATATTTTTGGAAACAGGTGTATGGAAAATGGAATCACAGATAGTCTCCTGCTTTTGTTTTTGTGTCTCTCAGCCCTGCATCTGTGTGCAGGAAAGTGCTGGCGAATAGCCGTAGTGTTTGCGTGTGTGTGTATCATAAGAATACCCCTAATAAGCAACTCTTGGAAAAATTCATTTAGAATTCATTTAGAAATAAAGTTATGTACTTGATAAGTCTGGTGTAATAGAACAAAAAAGAGACATACATATCTTTATATGTAAATTGTTCTGTAAGCAAAGTGGTTGCAAATATAATAATTGTGTATAAGATGGGGAATTTGGCCTAATTCAATTGGAAGTTCACGTAATGCTTATTTGGAGTGTTATTTGAATTCAGTTTATCTCAAAGTACCATAAAATTGAGTTTTTGCTGCGTTTTTGCCTCATTTTCAAAAGAGGAGGCCTACATTGAATGGATAAGATATAATTAACAAGAAGCTGAATTAAACAGAACTTGTCAAGTCAACATAACGAGAAGGCCTTGCTCCTCCATTTTCAAACGTTCTCATTAGTGATCAATGTCATTTACACATTCATATTACATTAACAAATGTTAAGTCAATTACACACTAGGCATTTAGAATCCATTTACAAAATATTTTCTTTGGAACATGCACATTCAGTCTTTAATTCAGTCCACGTTGCCAGCAAAATGGCTACTGCAAAGTTGTGCTGGTAGTAGTAGAGGTAGTTTGTATATATGTAGTTATTACTATCTTGCATTTCAGTATTAGGCTCCGCTTGCTGTCTTTGTCCAAATTAATGGGTGTGCATCCATGGGTGTGCATCCATAAACAACTTGAGTCTTTATATATATGTTTATATATGCCATTTAGCAGACGCTTTTATCCAAAGCGACTTACAGTCATGTTTGCATACATTTTATATACGGGTGGGCCTGGGAATCGAACCCACAATCCTGGCATTGCGAACGCCATGCTCTACCAACTGAACCACACAGGGCCATGAGTTCTTATGAAGATGCTTCAGAGAGGTCTCCCCTAATATAGAAGTATAACATATTGCCTGTCGTGTTCTGTGAAAGATTTTTGGAGAAATGCTCTTTACTGTACTACTTCGGATAGCCTCCTTTTTTGGAGAACCACCCTGCCATCAGTAACCAGGGGCATCTTTGCCCCCTCCCCTGCTCCAGCCTGTAATGGAAATGTGTAATTAAAGAGTCACATTTATGTTTGGTAATCTCCTGTATTTTTTTATATTTTTTTTACAAAAATAGATTTCCCCTCTAATATCCAATCAAAAAGGTTTTCACTTGTGAAGGAAAATCTACATATTTGTATTAATAGCAATCAGGCCCAGGGGAAGTTACTCTTAGATTTCCCCCCTTTCTATTTCTAAAATCACTACATTTTCCCCTTCTCTCCAGTCCAGCCTAGAAAAGAGCATGGTAAGCGCCATCGCTGAAGGGGACTTTGGGAAGGCGGAGAAGATGAGCGACAGACTCGCCACTCGAGAGGTACGTTGCACTGATAAGAGATCTTTGGGGCGCTCCCACTGTGACAAATCAAACTAATGGATCCGCGGCCATTTCATCCTGCAAAGACATAGGGAACAAAAACACACACTTGATTGAGAAGTCCTGCAGCCCTTTTCCATTGAGTTAATGGAAATCCCTCCCCCTTAGTTTTGAAGTGTGGCAGTGTCTAAAGGACTTTTGGCTCTGCTTTTTAATGAAGGGGTACATTGCCTTCAAGACAACTTTTAAAACATTCTCAAGGTGCGAGTTTCATACCTTTGAAGTGCACACGTCCCTAAATGCACTGCCTACAGTTTTGAAACCACTCGTCTCAGCTGGCATCGGGGATCAAGCGGTTTGAAGCTAATTTAGCAGAAAATGTAGCCCACGCACCCATAATTGCGGTTAAAAAGACACAGCTACTACTTTTCATAGTTGGGGATTACAGTATGTTCAATTGTCACAACTTGAAGTGAGAGATGTGATGCTCTTATAGAAGCAGTGATATTAATCCATCAGTACAGCAAACACACTATTCAGTCTGTCAGCCATGTACCAAAACCTTAATTCAGATAAACATTTCAACTTCAACAAAGGTTAGGCAATGCACGCAAAATCGTGATACTCTTCGTACTCCATCAAACATTAAAATCTAGTTCTCTATTAAAAATGTTGAAGAGGGACACGCACGGTAAGTGATTTGATTTTACATGCCAGCAGACTGATGTTGAAGGCTGATTCTTGTACCCAGCATAAAATAAAACAGACGATAAAACACAATAATGCAAATAGCCAAAGAAAAGGTTAGAGAAATTAAATGACTTGCTTTGTGGCTGACAAAGTGGCACCTGTAGTTCCAGAAAGCCTCTTAGAGCACTAGTGGATTTGGGGAGACTTAGCTGAGGTTCTTTGCCTCTCTGTCACCTCCCTTGTAGCTTGCCAGGAACATGAAGGATGGGCTTGACAGCGGTCTGGCAGCCATAGCTTACTCTGTATCTGTGTTTACCTCATGCTCAGAACAGTGAATTTACTGAAGTTCTCAAGAAATTCTAACGTACAACAAAATTGGTGAGTAAGAAACTGTGTTAATTGTTCTGTAATGCCTGATAACATTTAGCCCAATATCAGCCTGACTGTAAAATTGTCTAAGTGACAATGAGAGCTAATGACAAGTGACCTACAAATAATAATAATAATAATAATAATATGCCATTTAGCAGACGCTTTTATCCAAAGCGACTTACAGTCATGTGTGCATACATTTTTACGTATGGGTGGTTCCACCGACTTCTTGTAAATAGATAGGAAAATACAGCAGCATACAGTACCATGAATGAGTAGGACATAGACATTTCACCATTTATTCTACTGTAGTATGTTAACCATGTTGCACAGAAGGGGATACTGATGTGTTACTGCTGCAATATCCTTTTTCAAATATGTTTTGCTCAGTCTCATTAGTGGATGTTGGACCACATATACTGTATATATACTGTATCTATGGTAGTGCATAAACTTGAGAGAAGTATAGTTTGCTACAGATGGCTCAAGTGGTGGCTGCTGGCAGCATCAAGGTTGCGGCTTCATTTCCTAGATAAATAAAAGCATGTGGTGTATGAAACATGCTCTGGGGAAATGTGTGTAGAAGTGGAGCGTTTTACACCCACATGTCTAATCCTTACTGAGTTCAACATCATTGCACTTTGCAAATGATGATTGGGACACTAGTGTTGACTCTGGACAGTCCTATGGTTCAAACATTTAGAGGATCAATATTCCCAACTGTGACCAGAATACATTTCAAGGTTATTATTGAAGCGTCTCATTTGATACTGTATGTAATGGCTTATTTGTTTAATTTGTTTACGGTCATAACACTTGAGAGACATTATTGTGGCAGGCTTTTTAGTGGAGGAATAGTACCAGGTTTTCGTAATGGAAAGAACGGAAAAGGATTTAGACAGCTGTGAAGTACTAAAGGGCTGTGTCTGTCCCCCAAGGCATTGTTTGTAAAGGAAACCTGGTACACTGTGAACTATGTGTCACAGTATTTCCATCCTCAATCTACCTGCATTGCTTTTCGAACCAAAGTGAAATGGCTGAAGATAATAATAATAATAATAATAATAATAATAATAATAATAATAATAATATAATAATATGCCATTTAGCAGACGCTTTGAATCCAAAGCGACTTACAGTCATGCGTGCATAATTTTTTTGTGTATGGGTGGTCCCGGGGATCGAACCCACTACCTTGGCGTTACAAGCGCCGTGCTCTACCAGCTGAGCTACAGAGGACCACTCCAATAAAGATGTTCCTCCAATAAAGGAATTGTTTGTTTCTTTTCATCTGAATATTAAAACCCTTTGGTAAAACCCTTTTTGAAGGCTCCTTATAAATTATCTGATACATGTGCTTTCATCTGTCCTAGTTCTAAAACACACTGTGAGGATATTACAGGTTGCTTTGAGATTGTCTTCTCATTAAAGTGTATATTTAAATATTCTCCAGTCTGCAATTCTTTGTTTTAAATACTTTTTTTAAGCTAGGTTCTTCTTAAAAGTTAAAGTTAAGTATTAAGTCCACCAAAAGGTGATACAAAGCAATCACATTTTTTCTTAGGTATCTATTCATATTATTAACTGGTACTTTACTGAGACAGTGTTATTTCAAAGGAAGCCTTTAGTTTTCATCCCTAATACCTTTACATTTGAGAAAACCATTGTTTGCAGATAGGGTTGGCAGTGTTTCTGCTTCTTCACGTGCAGTTTGGTTTGTTGATCTTTTGCAGAGCCGTTCTTTTCTTGTTGTTTCTCAAAGGCGGGCGTAGAAGTCCCAAAATACTAGGAATAGCCTCTGGCCCCTAAAGTACTTCTTAATATTAGTTCAGTAGATTAAGTGGTGCAAGTCTTCCAATTAGGGCACTTGCGATCCTTTGATTATTGAACGTTATTTTACACAGCTGTACGTTGCATATGGAGTAATTAATTTCCTTAATTAGCATAATATTAAGTGCTATATATAACTCACTCACCCTCTGTCAGGAGAGTTGATAGGATCTGGCAGCTCATATTTAAAAGATGGATTCCAGAAAGCATTCCTGAAAATGAAACCAAGAAGGCTGTATTCAGTTAAAACTTATATCCAGTAGTACAGTAACTGTTATAAGCATTCATAACAGCTCATAGCTCCTTATAACTGCCTACACAAGTGCATAAATGCCTATTATTTATTAATAATACATTACACACATGTGGTTCATAGAGTTTAACAGCTAACTCTAACCCTAGGTAAAATAGCTAAGCACAACTTAACCCAATGGTTATTGTAATTGACGGCCGCTTCAGCGGACATCCATCCTGCAACAATTGATCACGTCCCTCTCCTCTACAAACCGAGCAATAAACCGAGCAATAAGCTCCCTTTTTTATATATTTTGTTTTACTCTGAGGCAGTACTTTATAGAATAAGTGAGAATAATACAAGACAAAAGAATGTCACACCGTGTTAGTGCTTCCACTTTCCCCTTAGCAGTGATCACAGCTATTAGCGTACATTACCACTTCAAAACAGAAACTCTGTATTCTGACACAATAGGGGGTGTCATGTCCTTTTCATGAGTTCCAGAAGCTAAAGAATATGGAAATTATGGAAAGAAAGAAACACCTGCATGGTTCATCATAAACACTTGGCTAACCACTGGTAGACTAAAGTACAGAACCCAGAGAAATGACACTCTTAAACACACCATAGATAAATGGTTAGGAGTGACATTTCTGAACACAGAAAGACACGCCAAATTATCCACAGGTGCTGCTTGTGGCAATCCAGATTCTTAGAGTAAGTCTGGAAATTTAAATAAGGTGTAAAGTACCAAATTAACAGTCACCTGACATTAGATCATTGTCGGTCTGAGATATAGGCCTAGAGTCATGTAAATGGTGGTTGCTTGAAGGACCAGCTATTCTGTGTCCACAGGCTAACTTGCATCTTGACTTCTCATACCACTCAAAATGGTATGATCTTATTATAAACCTCATTACTTCTACCATTTCAATGAAGCTAGAGATATATTAGGAAAGAAACCCTGTACCACCATGGCATGCATCGCTTTGGAAACCACTGTTTAAGTACTTTGAAACAAAGGTGGCACAACAGGCTTTGTTAGGCGAGACATGGCTAGTTAGATGAGAAAAAGAGCTGAACATAGTGTTTCATGTTGTTTGTGTTATTTGGGTGTTTTCCCTTTTCAGTACCTTTCCCTGCGATGTCACCTATTTGTGATGAGCATTGCTTTTGTGGAAAACACTTGTTATCAGATTTAAGCTGTCCCCGCCCCACATCAGAAAATGAGGCTCTCTTCCTCTCTCCTGCAAGGCCCCCGGGCGTCTGAGAAACAGTTAAGGAAAGTCTCTTCTTCGTTCCTTTTTCCTTCAGCATAAGCAATTTATCACAGAATGAACTCTTATTGTATGTATCTCTGGATGACTCACATACAATTTCTGCCCATTAATTTTGAAATGGATTTTGTGAAATGGGTACTAAGCTTTTATCAAATGCTTGGGAATCTCATTTGGATTATTGTATTTCATTAATTACTTGATAGGCAAGGCATACTTTTCAATGTAGATTTTTTGTGCTGTTTAATTAATTAGCATGTTTTCTCTTTTAATTAAAGCCATTTGTTTTATTAAAGCCCACAGCAAAACACATATATAATTTGTTTGTAATTAGGCCTTAATTGGTGGTAGTGGAAGCTTAGCACCCTCAGTTTCTTTTTTCATGATTGCCATTTTATTGCCAGTCAGTCATTCATTAAACTGTTTTTCTAATTAGCTTATAAAACTGTTGATGGCACATTATTGTAAGTGTGAGTTCAAAGCTTGCTAATAAGCCTTCCCTACTCAGAAGAGGCAAGATAATGGAATATGCACAAAGCGGGCAAACTTTCAGATTCTTTTTCAGTCCCTAAAGATGACAGTATCTAGCATCAGATTATTAGGCAACAGAAAAATAGAGACATGCATTATACCACTGGCTGTTCGGCAATATC